CCTTAAAAAGTATATAAAAATGCACCTCCCTACTTTTATAAGAGTCTGGCTGCCCTACAATGTAAAACATTCTTAAAAAGTAGGTCCAAATTTATTACAAAGGTCTGAACATTAAGAGAACTACATTTGTTGGAATTTAGGCTGAACCCTGCAAAATGTGAGTTCAAGTATTAAAAGTGTCTTTTTTACTTGATAACAGCAGAATAACAAAAAGAATGCAAAGCAAATTTTAAAGGCAGCACAGTTGTATACAAAGTCAGTGAAAGGACCTGATTAGATGCAAATTAGATTGGGGCAGTAAAAACTGATGCAAAGATGCCTTCGCAGTAGCTGAAAATGTTTAAGCTACACCGTGAAATGTGTGCTTATTCTGGGCTTTATGAATCTGCTTCATAAATGTAGTGGGACAAAGGAAAAAGGAGAGAAACTGGAGGGTAACAACAGAGAAAACATAATTTCTCCTGATTTCGAAGTCGTCAGTCAAAGGCTGAGCTGAACACACACACCCAGATACACTCCCACAGACATAACCAGCTTACAGCTAATTTGATACATTTGATACATCAGCTGTTTTGAGTGAAAACATCCCATGGTCCAGTAACCAAATTTACACAAATGAGGCAAGACTTTGACTTCACCTTCTGTCTAAACAGATTCTAGTAGACAGCATCATCCAAGCCTTATCTGACACTCAAACTTATGCATATGGACAGAAAAAACATGCCTTTTTCTTTCTATTTTTTAAATTTTTTTAAGTATTTATCACTTTGCGGCAAGCACATCTGTTATAGAGGGTCACACTAAGGGGTCTCTTCAACTTAAGGGGTGCCAAGCCAAAAAGGTTAAAACATCTGGAGCATGAGAAAAACAGTAGTTACTGGGCCTGGCTGTCAGATTAACTCCTGCACAGCCTCCCTCTTCCCCTGTCATGGGGCAGTCCAAATGCATTTGCCAGTTCAATGATTGCCATGTTGTCCTTCTAGCTGAGATGTAGCCATTTGTTACTTTGCCCTGCCTGCTCACTTCATATTGTACCTTGGGTCCCAAATCAGCAGTACCCAGAGGGGATTAACGTAGAAAGCATGGCAGATAGCAGAAAACAAAGGTACAGTATGGAGACCCAATCATCATGTGTAACTGCAGACTTTGGAGCAGACTTGGAGGGGTGTGAGTCTGGGGGTCTGATCACCACTCTGTGTGTGGCCCTGCCTGTTAACCAGGCCTGTCTGGCCCTGCACAGAGTAGCTGATGAGCCTCTGTTAATTACAGCCTGAGCTCTGTGTCCTCGGCTTATCTGATGAAGTGAACTAGAGAGAGCAACGCCACTGGCTGCTTTGTTCACCCTAGGGTCTTCAGTTTTCACCTCCTATATAATGTATATGTATGTGTGTGTATTTGTGTAACAGAAGAGGAAGTAAAGAAAGACCACCAATTAAAAATAATTGGGACTAATTTCATAAACAGTGCAACAGGGGAAATACATTTAATCAGGCGCGATCATTAGACTAACTTATGCTCCACTTCCCACTGCAACCAGTTTATAGGTCCTCAGAGGGAAATAGAGGAAATAGACAGAAGTAAAAAGAGCCAAAGACAGAGAGAGAAAGAAACAGAAAAGGAAGTTTAAAAAATAAAGAAACAAAAACTTTGATAAGTACACAGAAGAACGGTTGGTGACCAAAGTTATCTGTGATCCCTTTCACATCCCTTGACTAGCCCGTGCTGCTGTGCCAACCCAAACAGCTGCATCGGGGCGGTCTGACTCTCCCGCTGCTCCCCTCTTTTCTGCGCACAGCCCACTGACAGGATGAAAAACAAACCAATCAAATGTGTGTCTGAGGCAGAGAGAGAGAGAGATGGATGTTATGTGAAATCCACAATTCAGTTAAAATTCAAATCTTGCTCTAGAAGTCATTTTGTGACCTTCTTCCCTTCCTCTGCCACCAGTAAATCACTATCATCGCCATCTGGGGAATGCAACGTCACATTCTCACTAGTGGAGCTGCACATGCACACGCTGACATAAGTACAGACAAACCATGATCCATCACCCTGAGCTAGCTGGATGGGCTAAAGTGAAGAACAGTTGGGTTGGCCTGTTTTCTCTCCTGGTCTGCAGTACCTTAATGCTGAGACAAGTGATGAAAAAACTATAAAGAATAGACAGTATTTGCTTCTGCACAGAAAACTAAAATCCACCAGGACTGACAGGAAAAATATCCATAAAATAAGCCTGAGGTGCACTCATTTTTGCTCACTTACCAGTGTTAGTGTAGTTTTTGCTACAACTGAACAAGGGATTAACAGTAAGCGCTCAAAGCTATTTACATCCTGCACACTTCACACATACCACCCATGTACACCTCAGGCTGTCTGACAGCAGCCAATCAGACTCCATCAGGAGAGCAGTGGGTTCCTTAACCAATTGTAAACTACAAGCTAAATGCTAATATGCATATTAGTCACAATAGCTCTCTGAGTATGCCACTATTTTGTCTATAGTGTGCTGTTAGTTCTCCTGGAATCTTGTTCACCATTGTACACCATCTTGGGAAATAAAAAGCTACTGAAGAGGGAAAAATTAAGCTCTCTGAGCTAATGAGGGTGATCATAACCAGGTAGCAAGCTTGTTAGCTTAGCTTGCTGACTAATGGACAATAATGGACATGTAAAGATGCAATTCTACCATCTACTGCTCTGTCTTACCCCTGCAAGCCATTACTTTTTGTGGAGCAGTTTATACTACAGCAGAGGTGGTCAAATAAATGTGAATGTTGCAACAGCTATCTTAAATAATGTTTCACTAGCTTCCTCCATTTTGAACTCTAGTCAAGTTCCCTCCAATATCAACATTGTTAAGACTGCCTGTTATCGGTCTCTGATGTAAATTTTCAGGTCAACGTTCACCCAAGTTGAAACTGAGGTGAAAGTTTTACTTTGTGGTCCATGGCACTTCCACTGGGCGAGTGAGCAGCATCTTGACTGATCTCTCTTTGTGCTAAACGAACCTATCACTCGTCTTTTTGTGCAGGCTTTACATTCAGCTTCTCTCTCCCCATCAGCTTAGTTGATGCAGCTACATGGCAGTTGTCAGGACAACGAAAAGACAGGATGCACTTCACACCAAAGTGCAGTAAAGTGTACCCCCACCTAATTGCACAAAAAATAATGACAGCTTTGTTCGGTGCATTGCTTGCAACAGCAGTCTTTCTATTGTCCATGGTGGGTTAAATTGTAAAATACATGGTGATGTGTAAAGATAAACATCCACACCAAGGATTATGCAACAAATCACTGCTTGCTGCATATAGTTGGGATAACAACCTATTCTTATAAACAACACGTTCATGGAAGTTTGATGCTGTATTGTATTGAGGAAAACTAAGGTCGACCAGGGCTGACAGGAAACATGGAATAGAAAAGAAACCTATTCTGTAAAGTAGTCTGAGGAACACCATTTCCTGAAGATGTTTTTTAATTATTTCTTCTCTTTGTTTCTGGAATTGTTTCATATGTACAGTATATTGTTCTTGTGCTTCCGCACTCTGTTTGTACATGCACTGTATGCGTCTGTGCATCTGCAGTTAGTTTTAAGCTCTGGCTGCTCACTGTTGCCAAAGAGAACAAAATGGATGAATTTGTAAAAACACTGTTCTCATGGTGACCAGGTTTCAAGGTTTCATTCGACGTCTGGTTTCCATCTGAGTCTTTTAATTGGGGAGAACGTCACAATCGATGTTTTGCTCTGGGTGCTGAGAGAGACAACCTCTCGCCTCATGTTACTCTAGCCAAGCACCTCATCGGCTCCACAAAAACCCTCACACATATACACTCGTGCATACATATGCATGCTCAGATATAAAAAAAAAGATGCACACACTGCTGTACACACACTCTGCATGTGCGCACACGCACATAAATAGTTTTTTTTTTCTGTCTAAAACACACCTAGCACACTTTGACAGGGTCATTTTCAATGAAGTGTTTATAACAGAGAGTCAGGTCTTTAACATGAGCTACATCTCTTGGACTGCGCCTGCCAGGAGGCCCCTCCATTCCTGGCTGCACTTAGCCAAGTAGAACAGCAAAAGAGAGAGACAGAGTATGAGAAGGAAAAGAGGGAGTGTAAAAAGAGCAATATGGGGGGCGCCCCAATATCCAAACAGCACACCATGTACACACGCGCACAACATGGGAAGTTCGAGCCCGGCCACTAACATTTGTTGCAGGTTGCCCCCCCCCCCCCCGAAAACCCTAACAGCACTGTATTATTTCAGGGTGTATGCTAAGGTACGGAGTGGGCCAAACTTTAAGTAGCTCTAATTATGAACTATGTGGCAGGGGAGGAGGACATGGGTGTACTGGCTCAAGGTTAAAGACACTATTACTCTGGGAGGTACAGCTGGCTGTGGTGTGGAGGTAGATGGCTAATTCATCATAAGTGCTGCCACTGATCTGTTCTACCACACAGTTACCAGCTCAGCTAAATGTGCTAAGACTCACAGAGGAGCCAAAAAACCCAGCACATACACACACACACACACACACATACCAATTCACCACAAATATAATTTTTCCCAAAACTGTAAGCCTTACAGGTCAAGCTCCTATTGAATGGCAGATACAATGTAGATACGATGTACTGTAGGTAATTTCTCTGCCACACTATTTTTCTCTCACACATTTCCACATGCACAAGTTTAAACATTTCCACACCGACTATTTGTGTAGCTGCTTGCCAAACTAACTAGTAAATGTGAGTGTAGGTTTGTGTGAATTCAAAAGTGTGATATAAGGAGTCCAGGAGAAGAATGGGGTGCAAAGAGTTTGACAGAAATCCTCCCATTAACAGCACTGGAGCCAGAGAGAGGAAATAAACAATCATCTGTTCCCATTTTCTTACTCTAATTTCTCTCCTTTTAGACCATCAGCAAATCTGGCACACTGAGCATGTCCCTGGAAGTAATCACGAAGCTGTGATTGCATTAACTCTCTCTTACCTGTGAGTTTCTGGATTAAAGTGCTGAGTTCCGTCTCTCGGGTGATGACCAGGGTGAGTGCTCCTATCAGCTCCCTCTCCAGCTTCTCCAGCTCCTCCTCCTCTGTGTCCTGGTCTGCTGGCTGCGCTTCGTTGGCCAGGGAGTACAGGTAGATCAGCAGGAGGATCAGCTCATCAGGCCCACACTCATCCTTTCTGGACTGTGACCCCGCGGCTGAGCTGTCCTCATCTCCACGGGGCTTCATCAAAGGCAGCAGCTGCCTCAGCACAGCAGGAAAATCCGAGTCCCCAAGAGCCTACGACGCACAGACAAAACCGACATACATGAAAAACAGGTGGTTAATCAAAAGGCAGCAATATTTGTACCTTGTAAGAGACAAAAAAGTGCCTCTGCAACTAACTTAACTAAGATTTTAAGATTTAAGATTTTTTTTATTTGAGTAATCAAGTGAAAATGGGACAGAATGTGGTCTCTCTCCACTATACTACCCCCCGCCATGACAGCCTGCCACTTATAGACCTTCTGTTGTTACATGACCAAAGGGGGTAGCTGCTATTGCTAACAAGCTAATCTGCTAGCATGTTTACTGCTAGCTGAGCAAGCTGTCACAATATTATCTCACAGACTACACTGACTGTGGATTTGACTGTTGTTTTATGAGTTTTTATTGTATTTATGTTCTTCTCCTCAATGGAAGAAAAGGAAAACGAGGAGTATATTGTGTTATGTTGTAAAGACTAATCACTTTACCTATTTATTAGTGTATAGTGTGAGTAAGGTCATTGTTTCATTTGCTAATTTTACAGCTCTATCAGTGGCTGAGGTAACACTTAATGGTGGTTCATTCTTTTGTTGGATTTTGCAAGGGTCATGAACTAGTTTCTATCTCCTTTTCGCTCTGTCACACACATACAGACACACTAACAAAGTCAACATTAAGGGCAATGTTTGGGTGCAGCGACCCATTTTAGTGAGCTTGTCTGAACAGGTTTGGATAGTCCTTCACGATGGTTGTGTTCTAGTCCAACATGTTGCAGGATCACTAGACCATTTACAGAACACTAGCCACTCTCCCAACAAAGGTGAGCTCATAGACCCATAAAACAAGGGTGTCACACTAATCTGGAAGATGAACAGCATGAAGATCGAATGAGGGCTGAAAACGGGAAAGGAAAGGTCAGAGAGGGAAGGAGGAAAATGAAAATAAAAGTGAGGAAAAAATGAGCTGAGCAAGATACAGACATTACAAGAGGTACAAAGCTTGCAATCACAGCATAAAGAGAATGATTGCTGACAGAGGAAAGCATGTTTGTGTCAGATGGAGCTACAAATGCCCCTGTGGATATATTTCATTTTAACAAGGGATTCCTCTGTATGGATCTTTGTGTTCCTCTCACCAAGGCAAACAGGCTCTGAGAACGAGGGGCTATGGACCTTATAGTGGGCTCACTGGGGGGATCTGGTGTCAGACCCAGAAGAACGTTTGACTGAGCCAAAGACGCAACACAATCAGACCCAAAGATGGTTAGCCAAAGCCACGGAACTGACTGACTGTCCTTCAGGAGGTAGAGGCTGAGGAGACGTTTTGGGAAAACAACGGTCCCTTATGGAATCTATTCACAGTTCAAGGCCAATTTCAGAAACTCTGTTAATGTTAGTGATTTTCTAGATCATAAATATAAAGTTAACATCACTGTGAAAGTTATACAATAGACACTGCGGAAGGTGACATCTGTGGTTGTCACATTGTCCCAGTTTGCAAGGTATCACAAGAACTCACTCTCCTGCTGGTCTGTTCACAACAAGGCCTCCTCTCTGCTTCCCAAGCCAACCACTCGCCCCGAAGGACCGTTCAAACACAATCTCACCACACATTTTTCCTCTTAAACATTGTGAAATCAAATACCGCTTCAAGTTGCACTCATTCAAACTGCCAAACATTATTTGGGATCTTTCCCCTGCTCATTTTGCTGGTAGACAGCTGTGAAGAAAAGACAAAGAACATTAAGAGTTTATTGTTGAAATGTAGAGCATTTGGTCTTGTAGCTCTCACCGTAGAACAAATGATCTCCTCCACTTCTGTCTGTTCATGTCCAGGAGGACATTCATATGATCCTCCAAGTTCACAAAGAAAGTGTACCAAGAAATGACATATTCATTTTGAACAGTGCCACATTGAGGAAAACGTGCTGCCATGCAACTCTGGCATCAGATAGTCAGCGGAGAAGGGAGGAGCTGAAAGGGGAGCCTGGGCTCTCACATCACTTGTACAAGTGGTTCATTTCAACCTGAGCTGGTAGTGTTACGTCTTGGGCCTCTTAGCACAATAATATATATTTTCAGGTGAAGGCATCTACCATAGTTTGGTTCTTCAGCATGTTTGGGCCTCTTAGCACAATAATATATATCTTCAGCTGAAGGCATCTACCGTAGTTTGGTTCTTCAGCATGCGGTTTAAACTACTCTGTGATAGGCTCCAGGTTGGTCAGCACGGCTGCCAGATAATAAAAAGGCTGTTTGGTTGAATCAAAGTTACATTATGCAGTCTTATCTTGCTGCTACCTTACTAGTGTTGATTAAAAGCAGAAACGTGCCTGTAATCATTTACAATCATCACAGTCACATTTGACTGTTTAGATGTGGCTGGTTAGAATATCGCTTAATGCCATTACAATGACAAATAAAAGATTTCAGTTGAGTACTCGATATCATTTCAATTGATCACGTTTTTCAGATTTAGTTGCAGTATAATATCTATGTTCGTCCGCATTGCAGAGTGTCCTAGCCTCACATTAAGCCTCCAAAACTGTGACATTGCAATCTCTTTCTGGCAGTGACAACAAAAGACAGTGGCTGACATTCTTTATACATGGTTAAGTTTAGGCACAGCAACTACACAGCTAGGGTTAGGGTAAGCCCCCGGGTTTGGTTAAAACCTTCTCAAATGAAAAGAGCAATGTCACAAAATATCGGACACAGAAGTCGATCTCCACTTATCTGCGTGAAAGCCAGGCGTTTGTTAGATTCGCCCCAGCCATCATGTTCCTCGTGTTTCAAACTTTCTTTAGTTCAAAACCATACACCTTCAACGGACACTAAATGTTGACTTCCCAGTCCACACTCCAGTCCACTTCCTGGCGGTAATACACAATTTCATTGTTTGCCAAACACCACAGAACACCAAGAATAAGAAGACGAAGAAGGACATTGGGCTGCAATACAAAAACATTGTCAATGTCACAGTTTCAGCCGTTAGTATGACACATCTATATTTTATGCTGTTTCTACATTTTCATGTGAGACTGGGCTGGTTGCAGAGAATATCGGTGTACTCTTGTTATGTATGGCTCATATTAATATGTTATAGCCACAATGTTTGAATGAGTTGTGAGCATTTCAAGGATTCAAGGTTGTTTCATTTGAGGCATTTCTAAAGGAATAAAAGAGGGGTAATATTTAAAGATTTCACAATATATATTTTCTGTCCTTTGATTTTGATCATCTCATGATCCCTTACATTTATCTAGGGATGCCTTTGAGCCGGGGTGCTACCGACCCCCATGCAGGTTAGGAACCACTGGCCTTAGAAAGGAAGCTATCAGTTGGTCTCTCCTTATTGCCAATAGCTTAAGTTAATAAGGTTCTGCCTTAATTTTACTTAGTTTTACTTCTTTATTTTGGTCTTTTCTTTTCCCTTAACTATTCAGGAACTTGGAATTGCCTCCACAAGGAAATACTGGGATTTCACTCATCTCTCTCTCTCTTTGTATACAGTATGTCTTGTTTGATGTTTTTGGGTCACAGTGCCTTTGTACAATGACTACATTATTACCAGAGTATACCTGCCTTAGTCAAGTGCAGCCTGTGCACTGTGGATTCTATGCATACGTTTTCACATGTGAGGGGAAGTGTGCACTATGGGTCCCTTCAGGAGATCTAAAAAGGTGCTGTCAGCTGCACATCATAGTGCCGCAGCAGGAAATGGAGGCCTTTGGTAGAGAACTGAGACTGAACTGAGTGAAGCTCTTTCTAGCACTGAAGCTAAACTCAGCAATATCTCACTCAGTGACTGACACACAGACTCTCTGTACTGTACACCTCTAGGAACAAAGCGGAGCAGAATACAGCGTGCTGTCAATGGCCCCTAGGATAACACAAGAATATTATACTTAAGTATTATGTGTTTTATTTTATTTGAGGTATTGTAGCTTACAGTACTCTGCAGAACAAGCCTTTACAAACCACAGGATAAGAGTATAAAAAGCACACTTTGAGTTTGAACTACCCAACAATAAACTGAATATCTGGACCACCTGTAACATAAAAATAGGTCTTACAGTTTACAGGTTAATGCATCAACAACATTACACTGAAAAGGGACCATTTCACCACTAATGCCAAGGACATCAAGGATCTGAGTACTTTTTTCATCACAGCATTCATTTAACTTTCTAAAAAATCCACCCTTAGCATTTTCCCCCAAGAACCCATATAAAAATACAGAAGGACTAAATTCACATTTAGGGTCCACTCTAAAAACAGTGCCCGATTTAGTGGCAGTGCTTGTGGCCTGAACTACAGTTCTACTGCTGCAATAACAGGAAGTTAACGTTATTATTACACGCCATTACTGAGCGCACTGGTCGGGTTGCCATGCTCTAATATGACCATTACACATAGTGACTGAGTAACAATGGTATTGCTCTGTAAAAACACTGCTAATTACAAGGGTTGCAATTAGACTACTAAAATAACTGAGTTACTAGAGAGTTTTTCTTTATCATGACATAATATTTCCCAAAGAAAAACTGACTATGGACAAAAATACAGAACACAGCACTTCTTTGTTCTCTGAGCAGGCTCAACAGATTGGCTGATGCTAATGTCTGCCGCTGGATTATTGGTAAAAGAGTGACGCATCACTGGCTTCTTGCTCAGGCTTTTGCACCAATTGTAAGCTCTCTCTTGAATTGTGTTCTGGTTTAAATATAAATGTCAGTGATTGACAGATTACTATTTGGCAATCCCAACCATCCTGGGGTCCATAAAGGCTCAATCTCACCCAATCACAGAGGCTGGCCAAACTCCTCCCCTGCCCAGCACAGCCTGAACAGGAAACCAACTCCAGATGCAACCCCTGGAGGTAGGTGAGTGTTTCAGATGCACCGCAGCACACTAACCAGAACCAGTCCTCCCTTGCCTTGCTCCCTGCCTGCACAATGCCCAATTTTCTGGGCCCGAGGGCGGGGGGGTATTGGAGGTGGAGGGCTTTATGGGAGCATGAACAAAGTTGGC